TAGGGCCAGGAGAGGGGAGTCATCAGGGACCCTCCGCAGGGGACTTGGGCTGACTGAGCTGTCACACAGCGGAGGAGATGGGCAGAGGTCACCCCACAGCTAAGTCAGGGCTGAGGTGGTCTGAAAAAGGGGCTTTGGTGAGTGTAGTGCTCGGAGCCGTTGCGGCTGAACTGTCTCTGACTTGCTGAGCTGAGGGTGGCAGTCAGAGCTAACATGGTGATCATGGGTTTTAGGAAAACTTTCATCATGGACGTAAATCGCAGAGAAAAGCCAGCAGAGAGATGGGTGTGGGCCTAAGAAAACCTGCTGTGGCTAGGTGTGGCCCTTGTGATCTGGTTAGTGCTTGTCCCACCCATATCAGGGGTGGCAGGGAAGGGGGCGTCCTGTGCCGTCTGTCCTCACACACTGCTGTCCACTGCTGTGGTGAGTGGGTGTGCTTCTCAAGTGTCTGTGCTGTGCCATCCCTGGAGGTGGGCTGTGCCTTGTCCTGTCCCGGGCAAGGGGGTGACCTGTTTCCTGTCAGACTGGAGGCCGAGGTAGCACATTGTCTGAGCCCCTGGGCCAGCTTCTTTGGGAGCTCACTCTACAACTGCCACACGAAGCCGCTTTCCTGGCCCCAGAGAAAAAACAAGTGCTTAGTAAAGTTGTCTGGTCAGCCTAGAAGCATAAAATGTTTGTGCTGGGCAGTTAATCCTCTGCAGCCTGTAACGCACATGTTTCAAAAGTTATTTCAGCTTCACTAACTGGAAAATGTAAAAGAGAGTAGGCTGAAAATATGGAAATTGGGCGCATCGGTTTCCTTGTGGATGGCGGAAGCCTGTCCACTTGCTGAACCTGAGCCCCGCCTCTGTCCTTGGGTGTAACTGAGCAGGAGCTGCTGTGGAACCAGAGTGTCGCTCTGCATATTCTTTATAGAAAGGTGCTTGTTCATGTTTTGCTGCTGGTTAAAATCAGTCTTTAAAAATAAATTTTGGCGGTGATCTGAATGTCCTGTCTTGTCAGTTTTCATATTGTCGGACCGTCACAGGCACTGAGGTGTGGGTATGCAGCGAGGGGCCCTGGTGAGACATACACAAGGATGGTCACTGCCCCCAGCTGGCACCACAGGCCCCACCTTGGTCCTCTGGGCCTGTAGCTGTCCATCTCAAAGCCGGAGCTGCAGTCTCACTGGTCACACGAGGTCACCCTCCAGGATGGTTGAGGGGTTGGGCAGGGGCTCTTAGAATCACAGCAATGCATGTCGAGTCTGTCTGCTGTCTGATAACATTTCCATTGGGGTGAAATTGACTTAATAGTGTCACTTTGGGGGGCCGGGGATTTAGCTCAGCGGCAAAGCGCCTGCCTGGCAAGTGCAAGGTCGTGAGTTCGGTTCCCGGTACCAGAGAAAAACCAAAAAAAAAAAAAAGAAATAGTGTCACTTTGGAGATGGAAGGAATGGGGTCTTATTTTAATTGTCAGTATGTTTTAGAGATCATCTTGTCTGAGTTCTTAAAACATTCTACAATTACCGTAACTTTTGATAATAGATTTAAGTTAAGAGTTCAGGTGGCTGTGTAGAATCCGCACTGGAAAACGCAGTACAGTACTCCTCCCACAGTCCACGCTTTCGTCCCCTCAGCCACTGACGTGCCCTTTGGACCAGATTCCACACACGCAGGGGTCGCATACCATGTCCTCACTGGGCACATGCAGAGCACACTGCTGGGAGCCGTACTTTTTCTGAACAGTAGGTCTTCACACTCTTTCATATCAGTGGTAGCCTTACTATTTTTAACGGTTGCCCTGAACTCCACCCTGTACACAATGAGTATGCAAGGAGATTTACACATACACAATAGACATCCAGATGCGCAGACTTACGACAGGGTTACTGGATAAGCGTGCTGTAAAATGAAAATATTCTAGGTGAATAAAGCATGTAGCTTAGCAGCTTATATCCATTGTTTCCCCTGGGAGCATGAGGCTGACTTGGAGCTTTGGCTGCAGCCACTGATCAGCATTTTGAGAGAGGGTCTTTCCACATAGCAGCCTGGGAAAAGATAAAAATTCTCAGCTGTAAGTATTTGCAGTTCTGCTGAATGGTATATCCCTTTTGTGTGTTATCATAGCATTAAGTTGAAGCATAGTGGTTAAGACCGTGTGTACATTCACATGCAGAAATGTCTTCAGTGTCTCCAGGATATCCTTGTGGCTGGATCTGGACTACTCATCCACCTCATCCAGCAGGACTACTGGTCAGAGCGTCTCAGTTCGGCCCCTGGGCAGATGCGTGCACCCTACCCACTGCCTTGCTCTCTGCCTCATCCTGTCTGGATTGCCTTGCCCTGTGATGTTGGGTCGTGCTTGGTGTAGCTGGCACTGCTGGGCCTCATGCACGCATCTCTCGGTGCCTCCCACCTGCTTCTGGGTGGGTCAGTGTAAGGGCTGAGCAGAGGACATGGCAGCCCCTCTAGGGCCCCAGCTGTGCTGCCTGGCAGCGGTGTCCCTAAGCCTGTTTGTTCCCACAGCTTCTGGTGTGGCCCCAGGCTGGTGGAGCCTAAGGTCACTGCAGATGAGGTGGATGAGCCACCAGCTGAACCCTGCCTTTTTATATGTTGCCAAGGCTTTTTAGTGAGATGGGTGTAACTGCTTGCATTTCACAGGTGGGAAAAATCATAGTTAATACTTGCTAGTTGTTTAGTAGGTGCTAGATTCTAGTTTAAATTCTTTACGTAGATTAATTTCAGTTCTTCATAACAACCAAACAGTGTAGGTAGTTGGTCTACTTTGTGAATGAAGAACCAGTCCCGGAGAGGCCCGGGAACTTCCCCACAATCACCCAGCTTGGAGGAGCAGACCTGGAGTTCTGGTGATTGTGCCCCAGGGCCCCTGCTTTGCCTCATTGCACCTCGGTGTCCTACAAATGCTGAGGAGCAGCGGGCTGCTTCTGCTTGGAAGGTGAGGGCAAGGTAGAGCAGAGGCAGAGGGAAGCCCCGTTGCTGCTATTAAGGGTCATAGAGGTCATAGACAGCTGTGCTACAACTCCCCGCTTCACCTCACGCTCCCGGGTTGCTACGAGGGTCTCTCTTCAGATTAGGGCTGTTCCTTTATTTTGTGACCAGGCCGTGGAAGGCTCTTTGCCTGTGTTACAGGACCACAGGGGCCAGGGAGTGCAGAAACGTCACTTCAGGAGATGGAAGTAAAGTCTTACTTTAGTTATCATTATAGTTTTTTAAAGATCATCTTGTCTGAGTTTTTAAAACATTGCACATTTACTCTAACTTCTGATAATAGATTTAAGGTGAGAGTTTAGGTGGTGAGTACAACGGTGGTGGGTAATTAACACGGGAGGCTGTGTTTTGCATTCTTGGTCAGGGCGATATCTAATTATAACTTGTAGGGTTTTACTTTGAGGAAGTAGGAGAAAGCAGTCTGCACAAAGGGTCAGACCAGTCAGCGACAGGGGCCTATGGGTCACCAAGGAGGTGGGAAGTGTGACTCAGAGCCTGGGCTGAGGCTGCAGGTCAGAGGCTAGGCTTGGACCTGGCCGGAAGGGTGGGGGATCAGGTCTGGCCTGGGAGGCTGTTGGGAACTAGACACACAGGACTTGCTTTGCCCCACTGTCATCTGTTCCTACCATGAGGTGGTGGCAGATGTGGCATGAGTTGTCCAGCCACCACTGGGCCCTCACTTACTGAAGTGATGAGGGTTAATTACTCCGGAGGAGAAGCTTTCCAGCTTCAGAATTCTTGGCATTTGCTTTGTTTACTTAACACTCCTTTTTGTGAATCCCTTTTCCCACTGAAGTGTTTCCAGGGGACCGTGAAGCCCAGTTTGAGTAGGTCACTGTGGGGCTCTCTCAGACTGCCTCTGGGTGTAGGACTTGTCCTCCAGTGGCCCCGTTGCGGCATCCAGTGCCTGTGGGCATTTCAGTGAGAATAGCAATCCTGGGTGTGGGGCCTGTCCCAGGACCCTCTTGTAGTACTAATGGGAAGATACGGCCCTCAGGACAGCCACTGACGAGGGTCTTTGGATGGGTCTCTGGCAGCTGCAGATCGCTGATGAATGGCGATCATTTACACGTGCTTCCCATTTGCTGACACCAAGTGGTGTAGGAAGGAAAGGGGCAGGGGGTCGGGGTGTCCCCTGTCCCTCCAGGAGAGTGTCTGGCTGAGCTGGCTTCAGGAAGGAATGGTGATTGTGTGTGCTAGATCAGCAGCAGTCCTGCCCGCCTGGCAAAGAATGCGCTGGGGCTGAGGTCAGCCGATGTGGGCTGGTTACGATCAGGGGCCACAGTGTCATCCTGGCCACCTTCTCAGCTGCCTCCAGTCCTGCACCAGCCCTCCAGGTTGGCCAAGCTGATTAGATAAATCTTCTTGCTATTATTGTTTATGTCGCCAGGCTCAGCGAGCTGTTTGGAGGGTTCTGTCCCACACTTTACAGGGTGATACATATCCCAAAAACCTTGCTGCTCCCTGGTGGACATCTCTCTGTTTGGTTTAAAAACTACTGCAGAAAGCAAAGTAAGGCCTGGGATGTAGCTCCATGGCAGAACGCTCACCCACCATGGGAGAGGCTGTCGGTTGAAACACAAGCACCACAGGTGCAGGAAAAGGAGGAGGAGCATTGTTTGGTTTGTGTCCCAGTGTTTCTTGGCTGCCTCAGGAAGATGAGTAGTGGGAGATTCCTATCTGAAATGAATGGACAGTGAGAGAGTGCTTTCCGGTACCTGAGCTCTGCTGCCTACACGTGGGCTCTTGTTCTAATGCTAATTTTGCAGGGAGGCGGCTGTGGTCAGGGCTTTGCCCTGGTGACTGGCGGCTGCACTTCCCTTTCAACCCGGGGGCTGGCTGGCTTCTGGGCACCTCACTTCTTGGTGCTGGGGAAGGACGTTGTCTCTTGGGTCCAGAATTTTAAAAAGTGATAAGAATTTATTTTCAGTATCTTCCCAGAAGTGATGCTGGGTTCGTGAGCTCACGGGAGGAATTTGAGGACTTACTGTGGTCTCCCATTATTTTCAGAGTGGAGGTTTCTGAGGACTCGGGGCCAGAAGAGGGCGGAAAGCCTACAGCAGCACAAGACACAGGTAAATCATTCTGTCCTGGGCCCTCCGATCTGTCTGTCTGGGCCGATGCCCTCTGGCAGGTGGTAGAGTGCCACCTGCATGTTCCCTGAGGCAAGAGTTAGACTTGTGCCATTCTGTGGGGGTGGAGGGCCCAGCCCGGAGGCCTTTCCTCTTCTCTCCTCCTGATTCATTTTCCCAACTCCCCTCCTCTTGTCACTCGTGCCCAGCTGTCCTTGCTCCTGGGAGGGGACCCAGGCTGCCCGGCTCCTCAGGGCGCACTGGCCTCTAGCGGGGTGGCAACAACCTTGCTTTTCTCCCTTGAGGGGCAAAGAGAAGTAGGTGGTGAGATACTGTAAGAAAGGGGCTCTAGTGTCATTCATGGGATGTGGACCATTTCATGCTTCATCTTAGGTATTCTGAGCAGTGTAGTTACTTTTAGAGCAAAGTGAAGGAAGCAGCATAATGGATAGAAATTGAAGCAGAGGCCGACTTTGTTGTCCCCTCTCTGTGGCTTTCAGGGGTGGTGGAGCAGGATTATTTGCTTGCTCTCAGAAGACACACACACCAGGTGATACTCACACCAAAGAAGCCCGGCCGTGTGTGACCTCAGCGAGAGTGCCTTGTGTTGCTGTGCGAGTCAGAGACACCTCGCACATTGGATGCGCAGTGGCTGGTTGTGCACCTTTTAAAAAAATAAATTACCTTGTATGTTGGGTGGGGGCTGTTTTTCTTACCAGTTTATGAGAGCACTCTACAAGGAGTTCTAAGAGTTGGCACTTCAGTTACAGGTGTCATTTTCCTCGGGTCTCTCTCCCCGCTTAGATCATTTGTCTTTGATTTTTGCTGCTTTATTTTAGAGAAGTGTCTTGGAAGCTTTAGCTGGGGGCAGTTGCAGGCACAGCAGTGCACACGGTACTGTGTTAGTGGTAAGCGTTTCTGTGTCGAACTGGGGAGGCGTGGCTCTTCCTGTTGGTCTCTGTGATGCACTGAGTATATTTAAGAAAGCAGTGCTTCTCGTTTCCCATATACAAGGTGAGGAGCATGCCAGGGCATATCAGTGAGCGAGGGACACCTTAGCATGTGGAGGAATGACACCAGTGTTTCATGTCATCAAGGAGTTCCTTCTACATTCTTGGTGCCCTGGCTTCAGTGTCACACAGTTGAGCTGTCATTTTTTTTCCGTTTTTGCAGTACAGTATGTCCCCAACTTACAAATGAGTTCCTTTCTGGGAGAATGTTTGTAAGTCAAATTCATTCTGAGTCCAACAAAGTGAGTCTTAGACAGTGCACCTGTGAAAGTTTGCGGCTTGATCGTTCCGAAGTTGGAGACTTACTGTACTGGGGATTGAACCCAGATCTTCACACTGAGCTGCATCTGCAGCCCCTTTTTCACTTCGTATTTTGAGATGGGCTCTCACTCACTGAGTTGCCCACATTTGCCTCAAATCTAGGATTCTTCTTCCTCAGCCTCCTAGAGTGCTAGGGTGTATGCCGCCAAAGCAAGCTGAGACATCAATTTTTAATGAATAAATGGATTTTTGTTTTACAAAAGTCATATAAAAACATAACTCACTATTTAAAATACAAATATTAAAAAGGGCATTTCCTGGCCATCCCCCTCACCCTCCCCACAGATAACCTGTCAGCAGTTGGACATGTGTCCAAGCTCACACATGTTGATGTCTGCATGTCCACATGTGTACGGGTATGCACACTTCTGTGTCTTTGTGTGTCCATGTCTGGTGTCCATGCCGTGTATGTGTGTGTCCATGCTTGTCTGTGTCCTTGTGTGCCCTCCCACCGTATCTACTGTCTGTATATCTGTGTAGACTGACATCCTCACCACATAGCTTGGTCCACTGCGCCCTGGGCTCTGCAGCTGCTTCCCATGGAGAGCCTGTGGCGAGCCTGTGGCTGTCTCTACACCAGGCCTCTGCCCCTGACAGCTTTATGTCTTCATGGTATGCTTGCCAACTGCCCCTAGCGAGCTGCCACCCTTAGGTATGCACCTTGCTATTGCTGCACTGTCTGAAGGCTGCACCTGAGCAGTGCTAGGTGGTGTATGGGAGAGCGGGACCCTTCCCGTGGCCCTCAGAACTGGCACCCCATACCCTTGTGGCACTGGCCAGTGGCAGTTTTTCAAATTTCTCTTTTCTGTGTGGTAGCAATTTCTTTAATGCAGTTAAATCTTGGAGTTACAAGATGGAAAAATTAACGGTGCAAATAAGTCAAGGCAGGCTATACTTCATTGTATCATCTTTACATGATTTCACCCTCCCCATAGGTCACACACTGGGAACTAAAAGTGCTGGTGATTAAAGCGCTGTGTCACTGACATTTTATTGACCCAGCCCCATGTGCTCTGTCCCCTGGCCTTCTGGAGATTCTCTGCCGGATGCACTGTGTGGTTGGGCAGCCCTGGGTTGGTTGTGGTCTTCCCAGGCTCAGGCTGCTGTAGCACCAACTGGGCAGCTGATAAACAATAGACATTTTGGTTTCTGTTCTGCCGGCTGGAGGTCTAAGATCAAGACGCCGGCAGAGTCTGTGTGTGGCAAGGGCCTGCTTCCTCACTGGGCGATGGGCCTTTCTCTCTGGGTGCTCATGTGGCAGTGGGGTGAGGTAGCCCTCTGAAGCCTCTGCTATGGGGACACTAACCCATTTGTGACCTAATTACATGCCCTGTTGTCACACCTCGTCTTTACGCTCTTGATGGATGTGTGTGCATCCAGTCTGCTGCCCTGTCCGTGCCGTGGTTCCCTCCTATCACAGCACTCTGAGCGCCCAGGTTGTAGTGTGGACAGGAGTGAAAGCAGGCCTGAGACATCCCACTGTGCCTTGCTTGTCCCTGCTGGCACAGTCTTGGTCCAGCACAGCGCAGCTATAGACCAGAGTGCCTCCTCCAGGGTCAGAGTGCAGGTCTCCAGCAGTCCGCTCTGCAGCTGCTGGGTTGTGATGTGGGGAGCTCCTGAAGCTGCCCTGGGTCCCTGAAGGACGGGCTCTTTTTGTGCAGTGTGCAGGGAGGTGGCATCAGCACCATAAGGGGATGGGAGGGAGTGCAGGACTCACGCAGGTTGAGTGCCAGACCCCAGCACCACAGGATGCGGTTGAGGAGGGCCATGCTGTCTCCTCCCTCGCATGTGGCTGCCTGCTCCTGGCTCACAAGGGAGGTGTAGTAAGCACATCTACCACTGTCCCGACTGTGACCCCACAGTGCCATGGGGGTTCACCACCCTGTGTGGACAGACCAATGGGACAGGAGACGAACAGCCTCCTCCAGGTGGGGTCCAGGCAAGCGGTGATGGCCATCATCAGGTCAGCCTGTCCATAGCCCTCCAGCATGCCCTCTCCCAGAGTCCGTGGGATGTGGAATAGGCCGCTTTAGTGTCAGCAAGAGCACTGACCCTTCTGAGTATGAGTGACCAGTGTCCCCTCAGTGACCCAGCCCTGATGCCAGGTGCCAGTGAGGAGCCAAATCTAAGATTCAACATTAGATCAGAATTTGTATGCTGCATTGAGTGACACACACATGCATACACACATGCATGCACACACACCTATACAGAGGGACACATGCAGGAACCTAGAGTTACATGCACGCACGCACAGATGCATATTGTACCTACACAGGTGTCTAAATACAGATACTCACACTTACAAAGATGCACACACATGCGTACACATGCACATTGATACACATACACTCATCACTGCACACAAATGTGAACGCACACACAGGTCCATGCAGGCCCGGATGTGCATGTACACGCCCACATGCACACATACACAAAAGCCACCTGTGTGACTGGCCCCACCTTTCTCAGCTGGTCACTGGTACTATGCTTGACTTTCAGGGCCCTTGAGCTGTGGAGCTGCTGTCTGTCTGACAGGCCTAGGCAGGCAGGAAGGAGGGACTCAGAGCCCCTGGGGCTGATTCTCCTGACCTTTCGGCTGGTGCGTGTACTCCTCAAGAGCAGCACAATCGCACGTACCCGGTGGGAGCGGCGTTCATAACCTGTCTCTAGTGGGCTTCTCTGTCAGGTCCTTCCCCAAATGCAAAGTGGGACAGCTCTGCACTGTCAGCACAGAGTGGCCTTCGTCAGCCGCACTTCCCAGTGGGATGCACTGTCCTCTCAGAAATGCTTGAGAACACAGGGGAAGAAAGGTTGATTTAATTTAAATATGAGGAGTAAGGTGACCGGACACCGTGTTGGTGGCTGTGAGCCACTGCTCCTGGAAGACACTCTGGTGGCAGATCTGTGTGGGGAGGGCGCGTGCTCTGCTTTGGACTGATACCAAACAAGGAGTGCTTGTTGAAGAAAGAAGCGTGGGACCGTTTCGTGTCACGGAGCTTGTGGCCTGTCCCTCAGCCCCTGTGGTTTGGGCCTGTCCTGACCTTTGGTTCCTGGGGTCATGTGATCGAGAGGCCCATCTGGGCCAGAGCCCACCGGGCAGCGAGGGGTCTGCTCAGTGGTGAATGGTCTCGCTACCAGCCAGAGCACACTGGGGGCTCCCGAGGCCGCCTGAGCTGGCCTGGTAGGGCAGTGTAGGGAGAGGAGATGCTTTTCCCTGTAAGCAGTGTGATGAACAGTTCTGGGCCAGGCCCCTCGTCCAGAGCTGCTGGCGCCCCCTGGGGAGGTGTGGAGAGTCACGAGCTGTTCTCCGCATGCGTCCCCAGGGCAGTGCGGCCATTGTGCAGTCTCAGTGTGAGTGCTGGCACAGGGTTTATGTGGGGTCTCTGCCCTGGGGACTTTGTTTCATGGAACACTCTGTTCTTAGAGTCTCTCCTGCATCCTCTGCTGTGACCCTTGTATCATAACAGAACTTTAGGGGTTCCTGATTTGGCCCTACCTCAGAAGGGACTGAGTCCTGGAGATGCTGCCAAGTCTTTACGCCATCTGCTGTGGAGCAGAAGAAGATGAACAGTGGGGTGGGGGAGGTGGAGCAGAGGATCACTGCAGGAAGGAGCTGACTAGAACTCCAGGGAAGACTGTCCCTAGAGTGGGAACAGCATGTGCAAAGGCCCTGAGGTGCTTTGTGGAGGGGTACGTTGTGCTGGAGGCATGAACTCACGGGTAACAAAGCTGAGTCCCTTGGCCCCACAGCCCTCCAAGAACTGAGTTTCGTGTCCTGCTCAGCATACTCTGCTGCTTAGTGAGCGATCCAGTTTCCTGGAAGTCTTGGAGGCCTTATAAAACAAGGGGGCAAAAACTGTGGGGGTCTTGGTAAAACACTGATGGGCCAGGCGTGGTGGTGCCCACCTGCCTCCTAGGAAGGAAGACCTGGGACACACTCCTTTGTTTGGTGGAGCTGATCCTTCAATCCTTTCTGAGAAAGGGTAGACGGAGGTTAAAAAGTTAGAGAGTTGAGGTGTAAAGTGTATTGTTGTGCCCCGTTCATACTGGTGGGTACTCTGGCTAAAAAACTCTAGGTGAATATTGCCTTGTCTAGGACTGCAAGGCATTGTGGTGTCCCCACGGTTTCAGGAAAGCTAAAGTAACTTCTTCATGACCTTGTAACCTGTGTCTTTCCCAGACACACTCAAGATCTTCTCTTGAGGATCCTGGGCTCCCGGACTCCTTTATCATAGGCAGCTAAGTTAGGTAAAAATATAGCAGGCAGTCAGACAGGGCTGGGTGCCCGAGGGAGTCAGTACGGAGGAGTGCATCAGGGCTGTGGCGGGAGGCACGTCTGAAGGTTACCGTCACAGTGGCTAGATTTGCATGGTTCCCTAAGAGGTACTCAGAAGCCTGAGATTATTGGCGTCACCATTTTGAGAGTTCCCATTATTTTGTTGGGGGTGGATCATCCTCTCCCACTGACTAAGACCATTAAGACTAAAGATAAAACTAAGACTGTGGATTATTGACCAAGGTTAATGATGTCGCCCATCTGCCCTTACTACCATTAGGTCAATATTTCCTAAATGACTCTACTTGCAGTCTTACTGGTCGATCATAATTTTGACCCATGTTGTAGTCACCTCATGACTTTGCTCTGTGAAGCTTCCTTTGAGAAGTGGGCTCACTGCCAACCCATTTGTGACCCCTCCTGTCTCTCAGGATCTGTTCCTGTTCCCCATTCCTTTTCCCGGTACATTTCCTGCTCTTAGCCTCCGCTGTTCCTTAGAATTCATTCTTTGACTTCGGAGAGCACAGATGGTGATTCTGATGCGCGTTTCCCCCACATCACCTTGGGAGGCCGAACAGCAGACAGCACTCACTCCTGGTGCCGCTGGGCGCTCTCATCTGAAAGCATCTGACCTTCCCGCATTAATCCTTTATTCTTTCCCTGTGAAGTCCTCAGATTTCGCACTCTTTGCCAGAATGGCTTGTGAGATGTGGGACTGCAGCATCCAGTCCATCTCCAGCTTTCTCCTTTCTTCTCTCCCTTTCTAAGCTCCATCACGTTGTGTGACTTTGTGGGAAACCTCGACCCCCGGCTCGGGCTTCTTCCATCCGCAGGCTGCTTTCCAAGCTCCCTCTCGCTCCCCCAGCCGCTTCCTTGACAGCCTCTTCACTCCAGCTCTGGCTGCAGCTCTCTGTGGCACATGTGTCAGTTGGCGCCGGCAGTGCGTGACAGCTGTGGGCAAACACAGCCAGCACTAGAGCTCCCGCTCTGCAGGTTTATCACAGTTAAACAAGTTAATTTAACACTGAGGCGAGGAACTCGGCTCCTTACTGCCTCATATCTGTGTGCTGTCTGTTGTGCATCTCCTTGTGTGTCTGTTGTATCTGTGTGGCAGAAGTGGACAGTAGCCCTCCTGACAGCATGTGGAGAGCGGTGGCAGTGTAACTCCACAGCACAGCTGCCCCCGGGAGAGCCGCCTGTCTACCTGCTGGGCATTGCGCACCGTTTTCTTTCCAGCTTCGGAAGTTTGTCCACATCCCCTGGGCTGTCACCTTCTCCTTCTGTTTCCATCCTTGTGTGTGTCACTTAGGTGCCATCTCACTGGACTTAAGGAAAGAACCAAGGTCTTCTCGGTGTTTTGGCTTCAGTGTCCGGAGAGAGGAACCTTTGTTTCCTACCCTGGCTTCTGAAGCACATCCGGGCCCCCAGGATGGGGTGCAGAGGGGGGAGCTCAGCATGCATGGGACCCCTCCCCGCAGAAGGTCAGGCTGTGTGGTGTCTGGTGTGACAAGAACCATGCTGTCCTGGGGCTCACATCACTGCTCCAGGCCGGGGTCAGGCTCATAGGACCTGCACAGGCTATCACTGTTGTCTTCTGCAGCACTGGGGGCTCAAACCCGGGGCTGTGCGTGTGCTGGGCAAGTGCTCTGCCCTAGCCAAGCCCCGCCCCTTGGTGCTTGTGACGTACTTCAGCTTTTTCAGTTGTTTGGAGCAGAGGGGTGTAGGGATTCCCACAGAAGCTCCGACATCCAGTCTCCTTTACACAGAGTCATCTGTGTGTTATAGAGAGCGCTTCCCAGTCCTCCTCGCGGCCCAGGAAGTTTATATTTGCAATCCCATGAAACGTTACTGGAATTCTAGTAAGTTAATTCCAATCTACCACTTCCAGTGCACCCCATGGCGAGAATAAAGACACTAATAAAGACACTAACGGTAGTTATGGGGAGCCAAGGGGCCCTAAGTCCAGCCGTGATGATGGCCATCTGGAACAAAGGGCTACACCCAGGACCGAACCCAGATTTTATTCATTTGTGAAGAAGGGACTGGCTTGAGGATGAGTGACTGTGAGAGTGGCTGGAAATACATGAGTGCCATGAGCTAGGCTAGGTAGGAGGCCTGAAATCACCTCTGCCATATGCAGAGAGATAATGCAGAAGGAGTAATCTGCATAACTCAGTTGAGATAGCGTGTAATGTTTTGGGGTGAGTGCTTCAACTCTGATGTGTAATCTTTGAAGCCCCAGGAAGTCATAGCCCCTATTCCCAATGTTTGATCCCAGCTGACAGCGTGGAGCATTGGCTCACACATCCTGCCTCATCCCGGCTCACTCAAGGGAGCAATAGGGGGTCTGGGAAACACACCTGCCATCTCCAAAGATTACCATCAGCACCTTGGCTAGACTGATACGCATTGCTTAAAGCCAACTGAAGGGATAAGGAAAGGGTTCTAGCCAGCTCAATATGTATCAATACATGGAAATAGGGCCAGGCTCAACCAAAACAGAGGCAATTGCTCCTCTTTTAAGGAGAGTCGCCCAGGTGGTCTTCCTCAGTGTGTCACAGGTGGTGATCTTGCCTTGACTCACACTTGGTTTGAGCAGGTGTCTAACGTCATGCATCTACCCACAGAGGCGCAAGCTGCGTGTGTTGTGGCCGGGACAGAAGGGTTAAAGGAGGTGGAGGGCGCTCATCCTTCTCTGTGGGCGTCTTAATTGTCATTGGCAGCGTGGCTTTTATTCTGGGCGATGCAGGTATCAGTGACTTTCACGAGGGGAGCGATGCAGCCTGCTTTCCAGTGAAAACCTGACTCTGGCTGCTTCCGCTGTAGTGAATGGATCGAAGGGCGGTTGCATCAGTTTGGAATTGAATCTCTTGGTAACAAAAATCTGAGAGCAGATCATTTAGAGATTAAATGTTTACTATGAAACAGTGGAAAGCAGAAAGCAAGTGCAAAGTTTCCGCTGTGTGGTCAGTGGGTTTCCACTTGGCCTTTCATAGGATGACACCCTTATTTTCACATTCACAAGATGGCTGCCAGAGCTCCAAACATGAACTTTAAGTTCCCAGCAAGAACAAGAGGAAAGGCTGAAAGCAAAAATACAGTTGCTAGGTGAATCAGCCTCATTTAAAGAGCTTTCATGCAATTCCTGTCTAATAATTTTCCTTTGCAGGTCTTTGGCCAGAGTCAAGATTGCTTGGGAATGTGATGAGCTAGCTGGGCGAGCCACTGGCCCTGGGAAGCTTGGGATTACTGAGGAGGGACAGGAAGTTGGTGATCTGTACCATAGCTGGCAAGAGTGAAAAGCAGAGGCTGCTCAGGAGGTCAGGGCACCCAGTCAGGGAACCAGCAGCACTGGTGGAGCAAGCGGCTTGGGGCGGCAATGTGATGGGCACAGCACTGTGTGCCTGGCTCCCCCATCCTCAGGGAGTGAGGTGGGGCACCCAGCTCCAGGTCAGCGCACAGTGCCCAGCCCTCCTTGTGCCCCCAGACCCCTCTTGCCCTCTGTCCCTCTGCGAGCTGTGCAGATCCTGAGCTTCCCACCCAGGCCTCTCGTGCCCACATTGGGGCCATGCCCTGTGCAGGGTGCTGTTGTGGCTTGGGTCATGAGGGACACATTGGTGTCCTGGTTGGGGACGCCGTGCGAGCCCAGTCCAGGGCACAGACCTTCCTGTCCGGCATGGTGGTGCTCAGCTCAGGTCAGTATCATGTGGTCCTGTTGTTTTGCAGTGAACGCGGCATGTGCTGTCATCCTCCTTTCTGCCTTTCTGAAAGAGTACTTGGTAGCATTTTATTACAGAGTTCTTCTAAACACACAGCAGGGTGAGCAGCTGGAGAGTGAGCACCTGCGCCTGCCCCATGCGGTCTGGCTCAGCGGCTGCTCCCGAGGCAGACTCTGCCCTGCGTCTGTTCACATAGCCTGTGCCTCCCCCATGGCTGGATTTGTTTGTTTGTTTCCAGTTCTAGGGATTGAACCCAAGGCAACATCCTCAGCCCTTTATGACATTTTTTTTTTCTGAAACAGGATCTCACTGAGTCGCCCAGGCTGGGCTTGAATTTGTTATCCTCCTGCCTCAGCGACCCAGAGTGCTGGGATCACAGGTGTGCACCACTCTGCCCACCTCCAAAGCTGATTTCTACCTGAGGGGTCTCATCTGACTGTAGACTTGGGATGGGCAGGCCCGAGGAGCTGACTTGGAGATGGGCTGTGGAGAGGACATGGCTTCCCGTGGTTCAGGCCCCAGGACTGGGCCCAGGCTGTGTCATACACTGTTGCCTCATACTGCCTGGCACATACTGTTGCCAGTGTTAGCGTGGGGCTGCAGGTGGTGGCTCCCTGGTATAAGAGCATCACCGTGGCCTGGACTCCCAGGACCCCTGCTGCCCAGCACCGCAAGGCCCTGCATGCAGGATATGTTCATGAGCTCAGTGTGGGTGCCTGCGTCCACTCGAGGACAGCACATTCCTGCTTCCTCGTGTGGACGTGCTCTGTTCTCAGCTTCCTGTGGCATCTGGTATCACTGAGAGTCAGCGTCCCTCAGGGTGCTGGGGCACATGGCTCCATTTCTGTGGAGAGCTGTGCTGGCCAGAGCCTCACTCACCCTCAGTACCAGGGGTAGTTTCCCTGGGGCAGAACCAAAAGCTGGAAATGATGGCCATCGAGTCCACCAGCCCTCAGTAGGAGAGCCGAGCCCGGCGGACACAGGGACAGGGTGTCCTGACTTGGGGAGCTCATGATCACCTGCGATGAGACCATGCAGCTTGGTGGGTGCTGGGTGAGTGTGGGGGAAGCACCGGGCCGAAGAAGCACACATCTGGCAGTCTGGTTGCTTCCACAGCCACCTGTCTTCTCCTCCTCTGCAAGATGGGCAGGCGACAGGCTAGGGCTGTACTAGGAGCCGGGCCGGGCGTGGCAGGGTGCTCAGAAGGGTTGCATCCAGTCTCACAGGGGCCTCAGGGTCCTGGTGGGGGCAGATAATGAGGGAGCTGCCCTGGGGCATTGGAGTAGCTGGGGAGGGGAGACTGAGTCCCCGCCCAGCCGGCCAGTTTCATCAGTGTTGTGAGCCGTGCTTTTCACGAGGTGTGGCTTCTTTCTAGACAAAGCTGAGTCCCTGACTGCCATTCCCAAGGTGTGCATGCGCCGTTCAGTAGATTGGAAGCTAATGCAATGGCTTCAGGCTACTGTGTCTCTTCAGCCCAGCCACTGCTGTGTGGAAAGGCCTCTTGTGCACATGTTCCTGTGTTCTCCTGAGCACATGTAATGTGTGTGTTTATATGCTTGCACGTATGAGCATGTGCACAGATCTGTGTGCGTACTGTGTGCATTTCAGCTCTCTGTGACAACCCCATCTTCCTGGGCCATTTTTCTCAGTGAGCATTATAGGGCATGGACAGTCAGAGTCTCTAAGCTGCCTGAGACTCAGCTTCCGTCCCCTCGCTGCCTGTGGGATCTGTCCTGTCACCGGCGTCCCCTCCACCCACTTCCCTCTCCGCCTGTCTGCCCTCCTGTGTGGGGCCACTGGGTCCAGGGGGAAATGCTGGCTCCTGGTGACTGCTGTGTTCCTCTGTGTGCACTTGGGGCGGAGCTCTCCAGCGGCCTCCCAGCTCCTAGGCCCCTGGGTGCTGCTCAGTGCTGGACCCTGACAGGATGGGACAGAAGTACAGTGGGGGCCGTTGAGCATGGGGCAGCAGGTTGCCCCACATCCTGACCCGTGACCCCTTCCTCTTCCTTCTCCAGGGCTCCTTCAGAGGCTGCGCAAAACCGCAGTGCTCTTGGACGAAGGTGGAGGGAGCAGCCCGCGTCTCCCCTGGCAAGCAGGGCAATGTGGGTTCTGAGGGACCTTACCACTCACCAGGTCTGCACTGTGCTGCTGCCGCTGGCCTGCAGCCTCTGAGCGCTGTCCCTCTGACGCCTGCCACAAACCCCTGCTGCCCATGAGAATTTGCTGCTGGAGACCCTGCCGAGGCCCCCACCTGTGAGGATGTACGGCGCTGCCGCGGAGCTGCTCCCAGCCCTGGCGCTGGTGTTTGGGGCAGCAGTGGCATTTGCGCCCATTCCCCGGATCACCTGGGAACACCAAGGTGAGCTGGTGCCAGGGTGGTGCTCATGGGGCTGTCGTGACAGCTGCTCAGAATGCTGGGATGGGTACTGGGCACACTGGGGCATGAGCCAGTGGCCCTGCAGGGAGCCTTGGATGGGTGCTCTGGTGTTGGGAGCCTGCAGGGCCTGTCCAGCCCTCTGACTGGATGTCCCACCTCATCCTTGTTGTCTGAGGCTGCCAAGCACCAGGTGAGAATCTGCCTGGGCACCAAAGGAGAGCCAGAAGTACGAGAGGACGGGTTGTGTGTCCAAGGCTGGGGGTCAGGCCAGTAGATCGCATTTCCTGCCCGCTGATCTCGGCTTAGTTTTTCCCTCTCTTAAGAAATGTGTGCTGGGATCCTGGTCTCTGGCTTGGAGGACGGAGAGCTGAGCAAGGCGATGCTTAGTCAGGACTGGGAGCGTGTGGTACAGACTCACGAGTCATGCTCGCACAGAGGCAGGATCTGCAGCCTACGTGCGGCTGCCTTCCGCCAGACAGAATCAGAACAGGAAGCATTAACGTGGAGGACAAGTGCTGGACCTGAGAAGGGAGAGGGAGACCACCAGCCCCAGCTTAACTGACCCCTGGTGCAGACACTTCATTCCAAAGGATCAGATTCGGAAGCTCACTTGTTAGTGATTCTCCGGCACCCCTGTGTGCTTGGCACTGCGTTGGGTGCTGGGTAGTCAAGTGGGATTTATATTTGCAAGGACTCAGTTCATTGTGCACGGATATGGCAGAAGAAACGAGGGAGCTTTGGTGTGATGTCAGTTCTGTGCCAATCGGTGCCAGGCGGCCTCAGAGAGGAAAGCCCCAGGTCAGACTCCCGGGGTGGTGGGCAGGATACAGCAGGACTGTGCAAAGGCCCAGAGGCAGTGAGGAAGGTGCCACCAGGGCAGCCAGTGCATGAAGAACCAGCTCCTGAAGACACATAGATAAGGGGTGGCTGCACAGATGCGGTGCTGGTTGGGTCTCTGGGGCCACTGAGTTGGCACTGGACCTGGTAGATCCTGAAGGACAGAGGGGAGTGGGGCCCAGTCTTGGGATGTGGATGCGTATACATGGGGCCTGTCCGTCACATGTGCTTGGTGGCTGCGTTGTCACCTGTGTTGCCACCTGCCCTGTGGCCTCAATGGCTGCACTGTGGGGGCCTCACCACATGACTGCGCTTGCTGTAACTGAGATAGGGTGTGTAGGCTTGGAAACAACTGCTTCTTTTTCCTCTTCTCCCTCTTTGATGGTGCCCTTGCGTCCTGCAGAGGTGGGGCTGGTGCGGTTTCACGAGGCTGGCATCTACAACTACTCAGCCCTGCTGATGGGCGAGGATGAGGGCACCCTGTACGTGGGTGCACGGGAAGCCATCTTTGCAGTGAGCGCGCTCAATATCTCCCGGAAGCTGCATGAGGTACGTCCTGTGTTCCACAGGTATTGTACAGCCCACCCCGAGCCTCGGGACCTCCTTTCTGCACCTGTGTCCATCAGCCTGTCTCAGAGTACCTACCAACAGCTCACCCGAAGACTTTCCTCTTTTCATCTCTTCTTTTTGAGTGTTTTTTTTTTTTCGGTGGTGCTGGGGGTGGCATGCAGGGCCTTTTGCGTGCTCAGAGAGCACACCAGAGCTGCATCCTCAGCCCCTGGTCCGTGTCTGACTCTCAATCATCCCATCCTTGGCAGCACAGCCACTGGGTGGCTCTGGGGCATGGTGGATGGGTGACTTTTCTGCAATCCTAAATCAGGCTGTCTAGGCTCACCGTGGACATTTCCTAGAGCTGAGCTCTTGCTTTATCTTTAGTTTCATGGCCTCTTGTATTTCTTAACTTTGTCTGACATGTAAGTGAGCTTCTGAACCTGATCCTTTGGAATGAAGCGTCTGCACCAGGAGTCACTCTAAGCTGGGGCTGGTCGTGTCCTTCTCCTTTCTCAGGTCCAGCACTCATCCTCTGAGCCCTGACTCCATGTGGTCACATGAGCAGAAGGGTCTGGGAATTGTGGGCACTGTATGCCCAGCATAGATGCGCCTCTGAGAGCCATCACTGTGGTCCCTCGTTCTCAAAAGAGAAAATGGGCGCCCAGCCAGGCTCGGCACAGTTTGCCTTCCCTGTCAGGCAGGTGATCGTTGAGGTGGGACCTTGCCTGCTTCTCTGTGTCTTCCTGGGACTTCACCGCCATGCACATACTGTGCGGTGTGTCTGTGCCCGGCACAGTATAGACCCCCAAGGGGCCCCCCCCTCCCCACAGAGCTCTGTGCTTCCTGACCACTGCACCCCAAACCTTGTGTGGGTTGCTGAGGGGTGAAAAATATCCCGTTATTGTCATTTTAGCATCAGTTTCAGGACCTCATGGAGAGGCAGCAGCACTACCATCACTAAGAAGGCTGCTGCCCTGACACAGTGCTGCTAACTGCATCCCTGTCAGCCACCAAACACGGGTCTCTGGCATAGTGATTCTGCCATTCATTGACTGTCAGTGTCAAGACACTGTTTTAAAGTCACTTTTTAAATAACATGAATTAATTGTAGGTATCAGTGGGGTTCAGCATGCTATTTGTGTGATGGTGTCCAGCACACACCCTTCCCAGCCGCTGGTAATCACTCTTCTACTTGCGAGTCAGCCTCACTTAGCTTCCTGCACCTTGGTGGTGGAACATGCAGGGCTTGTCTCTCTAGATCTGGCTTATTTCATTCAACAGGACGCCTGCAAGTTCCATCCACGTAGCTGCAAATGACAGGATCCCATTCTGGGGCTGAATAATACGCCATTATATATGTACACACTTTGTCTTTATCCATCCATCCATCCATGGACAGGGTGTCTTGGCTGGTCCCATACCTTTGGTGGTTGTGGGTAATATGAGGTTGCTTTTCAGTGCATTCGGAAAAAGGCTTCAGAGTTTAGCTTCTTGCCACATAATTAAATTCTCCCACTTGCAATAGTTTCACTGCTGTTGCTCTTTGTGGGGATAGTGCGACTGTGGGAAAGGCTTTCTAGGCCCTGTGTGTTTCTGGTAAGGATCAAAGAGCATTCTGGAAGGGCCAGGTGCTCCAGGGCATCAACATCTCTCTGCTCTCCAGCCTCCCTCCTGGTCTGAGCCTCTGTCTGCTCTGGAGACACGTCTGTTCTGAACACCATCACACAGTTAATAAAGTGCATTTTTTTATGTCTGTAGCTCTTCTTCAAAGGAGAATACACAGTGAAACAGACTCTGATTACCCCTCACAGGTGTACTGGGAGGTCTCAGAAGACAAAAAAGCAAAGTGTGCAGAGAAGGGGAAATCAAAACAGGTAATTCCTGCTGCAGCTGAAGACACCCACCTGCATCTCTTGGTCGCGGAGACCTCCTGGTGCTGTGCGTGTGACACGCAGGCCTGGCCCATGAGTGTCTGGGCAGTGGCAGTGAGCCCAGTTACACCGTCACGGGGCATCTGAAAACTTCTGTTCCTGAGGATTGGGATTAGCATTAGCAGGGGCCAAGCAGAGTGGGCATTCAAGAAATAGTCCTTCCTTTGTGTGAATTGAATCTATTCAAAAAATTTTGACTGAGAAAACAATTTCTGATGCCCATTGGCACATGGTGTGAAATTCAAGGTTTGTTGTGCTGCCTTCCCGGTGAGCAACCTCAGGCCAGAGGGGTTGCTAGGTTGGGGGCATTTGGCACCTGTCTGCCCCACAGCATGGAGCCCATTCAGGGAGGGCTGGCAGGATGCTCCCCTGACCACCCACCGTGCCGCCATGCCCTGCCTGGTGCTGGGCAGACGTTCAGATTCTCAGACTCCGGAGCTCAGGAGTCCAGGGTTATTGGTGGTGACAGCTGACTCATGATAAATTTCAACATTTGTTGACTAGTTTTGAAACCAAAAAAATATTTTTTAAAAGCCTGAAGAATTTGTTTTGCTAAACTTTCTTAACAAGGTATTGAACCCCTTTGCTGAAGTGCTTGCCTCTAAATCCAGCATTACCGTAGGAAATACAGGGGTCAGCAGGCATTGCAGTAGAAGCACACGTCCTGCAGGAGTCTGGAGCTGAAAGGGACTTGGCCCTGTGCTGCCCTGTGTGGAGGGTGGACAGCAGACCACCAGTCCAGGACTGGGAAGAGCAGTGTGAATTATATCCGGGCATTTTAAAACTAGTCAGCAAAAAGACTGCGCTAATTTCAGACTCTAGCACCTATAATCCAAGTCCTTTTCTGCCAAAAATAGCATGTGGGTTTTTAAATGGCATCTTGGTGATGCACAGCTGGCTGTACCCCCTTTTCTGGTCAAGCTTCTCTCCCCTCCAGTGAAGCCAGGGCCTTGAGAAACTATTTCCAGTCCTCTGTGTGTGCAGGGAGTGGAGGGCAGGGCCCCTTGAGAGCCAGAGGGGTTCTGTGTGGTGTGCACTTGGGTAGGCTTGGCAGCAAGGAGAATGATTTGTGTGTTTGGCAAGTTGAGTGTGTTTCTTTGTGTAGAGGGTGTCCCTCGCACAGTTTGAGGTCGCTCTCATTGCTTTGTTGTGTGGCCAGGGCTGAACTGGGATTCTGCCCAGCACCGAAACAGCCTGTGGGCTCTGCAGAGCTGAAATTACATAGGTCAGCATGAGGGTCAAGGGTGTGGAGCTGTGTCAGGGAGTCAGTGGCCCCTGCACCCTGTTCAGGTACCAGGCCTGCCAGTGTGAGGTCATGGTGTGGACAGTGGCCAGCGCTTCCAGCTGGACAGCTGCTGACAGGCTCTTTCTCTCCCTTGTAGACAGAATGCCTCAACTACATCCGAGTGCTTCAGCCACTCAGCTCCACTTCTCTGTACGTGTGTGGGACCAACGCATTCCAGCCCACTTGTGACCACCTGGTAAGACCTCAGACCCCTGTGCCCAGAGAGTGCAGGTCTGCTCAGGCAGTGTTTGGAGCTGCTCAGCCCCAGTGAAGGTGCAGGATGGGCCACAGCAGATGTTCTGAAAGGTGTGCTGCTGGCAGGTGCACGTGCCCGCTGCCAGGATCCCAGCTCCTCACCGACGCCTCCCTTCTGTGTGTTTGGAAAGGAAAGCCTGGCTTCCTTTGGTGGGGGCCCAGGCCATGGGGCAGTCAGGCCTGGCTCCTACATGGGGTGTGTCCTTGGTCCGTACGCTGGCAGGTCTTGGAGGTCACTATTGGGTACTGGCCCTTGGTGTACATACATCCTGTCACAGAGCTGCCCCATGAGTTCACCTTCTCTGAGTAGTTAAGAGACCCCTTCCCTCCATCCTCTTGAGTGGTGACCCTGCCTCCGGGCGTGGGTCCTCAGGAAGGCTCTTCCTCACTCCTTGTTGCCAGATAGAGGGACATTAGCCTGTTGCATCTCATTATTTTAGGAGAGGTTGTTTTTATTTAGATGGTCAGATAAGCAGTTTGATGACAGAGAGGAAGAAGTGTTTTAAGTAATGACTGGAAGTAAAGCATACTTTCCAGTGACCATCCCCTGGACTAAAGGAGAACCTGACACATGTAAAATACGCTGGGCAGCAGCCATCCCGTGTGCTGGGACACAGCAAGCCCTCAGCGCATGCTGGGGTCTTGGGCAGTGTCCGACCCTGTACTGTGCTCAGCGAGTGGGAAGGGCACACAGTGTGGTTATGCCAGACAAGGGGTGAGTCACATCCGGGCAGGATGGCAGGGTTGCGCAAGCTTCCGTCCTGCTGTTCGGACAGTAGTTGCCAGCAGGTTACAGAAACCCCGCATAGGGGAAGACTAAGTTCTAAAGCTTAGAACCCAAAATTGATGGAAGTTAAAAAAAAAAAAAAAAAAAACATATTTTCCAGGGTGGAAGTGTACCTTGGTAGTAGAATGCTTGCCTAGTGTGCAAGTGAACCTGGGTTCCATCCACAGCTCAGGAAAAAAAATTCTAATTTTGGGTCAGAGAAATAAGACAAAGTATGAACTTACCAGAAAATGGCGTAGGAACTTGGTGCTCACACACAGATGTCTGGAGTGAGAGCCACTGGCCATCTGGACCCACAGATGCTGGCAATGGAAGTCGTTGCTGCAGGGGAGCCCCAGTCTTCCGTAATAAGACTGTCAGTCCTCAAAGGGAGATGCTTCTTTTTGTATAAATGCAAGAAAAGCAAAGTACAGTTGTATCACAAAAGCTGTGTACATCAAAGGATTTCCTGGCTAAAGTCTAGTTAATTGGAAACTTACAGCACTGGGTTTCCCAGGGACATGTCAGTGGTTGAGGTAGGGGGTAGTGTATTTCATTTCAACCTAGACCTACAACTTTGGAAAAATTTAGCAGAAATATTCCAACCTGCAGAAAAGTCAGTCATTCCTATGTAAGCTGAGGGTGCACACTTGGGAGTACGTGTTTTTGTGCATGCAGTGTGTGCTGGCTGAACTATAATCCGTGATTCCTGAACACCTTAAGAATAATGAACCAGGCATGGTGGTGCACACTACAGTCATGGCTGCTCAGGAGGCTGAGGCAGAAGAATCACACTCTGAAGCCAGCCTGGACAACTTGGCCAGACCATGTCTCAAAATAAAAAGGCATGACATCTTCCTGCATAACCAATTTCCCCATTGTAGCTAATAAAACAACCAATAACTCCAGGATCATACAACCTCCTGTCTGCATCCAGGTTTCCCCATTGGCTCCAGGCATCTTTTAGAGGTGTGATGAAGCACAGGGTCACCCCCCTCAAGTTTCCTAGCCTAACAGAGGACTCTGAATTGCTTGAATGAGTCTGTAGCCTGTTGGAGGTGCAGGGTACAGCTACTCAGGCACCCCAGGCTTTCTGCTTTCTGGCCCCAACTGGCAAGAGCCTTCCCAGCAGGCTCCTCTCCAGGGCTCTGCACCACCCACCCTGGGTGCACCTTCTCACCATCCTCTGGAGCTCCAGGCCATGAGGGCGGGCTCAGGGACCTCGCTGTCACTTTCCCTCTGCTCCCTGGGTTTCCAGCAGGCCCGTCCCCAGCGCGGTTCTTTCCTTGCTGGTTTTGCCTGTTTTCATCCTAGATGCCTTTACACATTTGTACATGGCTGTTGTATTTTCAGAGATGGAAACACGCTACCTGTCATTCTGTGGGCATGACCCCCAATTCAGCACTTACTGTTGAGCTGTGCTCTGTTGTTGCCTGTATGAGAGCTTTCCAGTGCTTTTATGTAATAGCATACTGGTCCATTTTCCCCGTGGCAGCCTCGAGGTCTGGCTAGTGAAGAGAGCCTGTCCCCAGGTGGAAGCACGGCCTGCAGCTTCTCCTGGTGCAGCTCGATTTTGCCTTTCATATTCAGCTTGTGGATCCATCTGGAGTGTTGCAGTGGGGGCCCCACTGTTCTGTTCTGTGTTATCTGCTCCTTGGATAATCCCTTTGGTCATGATACGGAGGTTCCACATAGGGCTTCTGGTCCCTTGCTTAGTGCGTCCTGTGTATGGATCCCTGAGCCTGCTTACAGCTCCCAAGTCGTCAGCAGTGCTGCCTCCATTCTGCGTATGAGTGAGCAGAGGCTCTGCGGTCTTGTGTAGGTTGGCCAAGGCGCTGGTGTACGGGCCCAAGTCGGACCCATGTGGCTCAACACCCATTTGTGCACCCGGTAAAAGGACCAAGGGTCTTTCAAGAAGAGTGAACCTGCAGAATTCAACAGTACCGGCTCAGATGTTTGAAGTATTTTTTTTTTATTCAACTGTAGAACTTAACATCCTTTAAGTTTCTGGGGAAAAATGAAGATGGCAAGGGAAGATGTCCCTTTGACCCAGCACACAGCTACACGTCCGTCATCGTGGGTGAGTCTGTTGCTCAGGCTCCTTCACCCCTGCAGTTTCTGGCTGAGGTTGTGTCCCAGACAGGACACTCGACCCCTCTTCCCTGCTCTGTGTGTAGCATTATCTGCCACTGTAATACATGCATGTCCCTCTGTGCAGATGCATTAGCGAGAGCTTTTGAACCACCATTCAATGGGATAACTGGCCACTGCTGTGGTTGCTTGATGTCTGCCACTTCTGCGTTGTCCCAAAGGAAGACACTGTCCTGCCTGACAATCAGATTAGCAAAAGAGCCACCTGCTGCCACCGTGCAAGGCCCTTGAGCACTGGAGGCTGGTGGGCCGGGAACCCTGTAGCCCCAGTAGTTTACTTAGGACCTTTTGACTTGGCAAGGGTCACCACCATTCTCTCACAGTCAGGACAGTGTGCAGTGCCTCGCAGGAGTCAGCACTGGGTCATAAAGGAGGCTGTGTGAGCTGATTCTGCCCAGGTCAGGCTCACGCAGGTGCAGTGGGGCTGTGCTCTGGGATTCACAGGTCACAGTCACAAGTGCAGTCTAGCCTTAGGATATTTGCCACTTAGCTGGACTCAGGGTTGCGCGTGTTGTAAATTAGGATAGTCCGTATTCGCACCTGTTGTACTGGATACAGAACATTCTTGCTTGGTTTAGTTATTGTCCCTTAACTTGTAAAAGGCAGCTGAATGTGGCACGGACAATTATCTACATATGCAAGACAGGAGATGAAGACATGCATCCCACAAGCCTGGAGGTTATCCTCCCTTTATACAAGGGCAGGGGCAGGGGGCGAGAGCTTTTAAAGAGATAATATTGGATGACTGTCCCCATGTTGGTGCCATAGCCACAGGGGCTGACCCCATTTTCCTTTCTCTTCCTGGCTGCTGCAGATGGAGAGCTATATTCTGGGACGTCGTATAATTTTTTAGGAAGTGAACCCATCATCTCCCGAAATTCTTCCCACAGTCCTCTGAGAACGGAGTATGCGATCCCTTGGCTGAATGGTAAGAAGCACAGCCAATTGGTGGAGGGCTTTGCGCCTGGGCGTGTGTGCAGTTTTATTTCTCCATTGTCACTAAGCTGTGAAGATCCCAAGCTCGAGTCAACCCCAGGGCAGTGAAGAGTGCTCCTAGTACTGCTCAGGGGCCACTGGGGTCCAGGGATGACTGGTCTGGTTTATTCTCTACTAGCAGAGCATTTTTTAAAGCTGCTTTTACCCCAACCCTGAAAATGGGTTTGGGAGACTTTTTAATAAAAGTGGGACTCTGGTGGTACACAGGGCACTCAGAGTAATCAGATTGGCATGTGGTGCAGTTTCCTGTGTGATATTAAAGTGCAGATTCGTGCCTAGCCTCCAGCGGCTGGGTAAATGGGGCCAGGGCTCAGTGCCTTGTTACACCAAGCCACACTGACTGCAGGCTGCTTATGAGGGTTCCCCCCACCGGTGCTGGCCAGTGGGCCCCCACGGTTCTTCAGAGCCTTTTGCTCAGGGGCAGATCCTGTGTCTTGAGTCAGGGCACAGCTGACTGCTCCTTGATCAGGCAGCCAAGGTGTCTTGGACAGCTGTGCCGTACTTGGAGTGTGTTCAGGGCCCGTGTTGGATCCCTGCAGCCCTGAGTGCCTCCCAGGCAACCCCCCACCCCAGCTCTGTGGTGGACGAGGTCACCATCGGGAACAGCTCCCAGAAGCCGAGGAGGGCAGCACAGAGGAGTGGTGTTGTCTGGGCTCAGCCCCGTCACTGTTCCACGCCAAGTCAGACTCTGTGGACGTCCTTGTGGGCCCTGTTCGCCAGCCTGCGACACCACAGGGTGCGGGCGGGGGTGGTGACAGTCTGGCGCGTCTCTCGGCAGAGCCAAGCTTTGTCTTTGCCGATGTGATCCGAAGAAGCCCAGATGGCCTGGAGGGTGAGGACGACAGGGTCTATTTCTTCTTCACGGAGGTGTCAGTGGAGTACGAGTTTGTTTTCAAGCTGATGATCCCACGTGTCGCCAGAGTGTGCAAGGTGAGCCCCACAGGGATGGTGCCACCCCCACCATCAGAAACACCGCTTTCCCTGCGCTGTGTCCCGCCATGCCCAGGCACCCCTGGTGACAGGGCCTGTTGGCGCCTGGCCTTCCTTCCTCTGGTGTCTTGCGCGGCGTAGGCACCCCAGATGTGACCGCCTGACTTGTAGTTCTTGGGGAGTCTGGTTTTGATGCTCTATCCCCAGACCTCCACATGCCCATGGGCTCCTAGCTGGACTTGGAATCTCTAGAGTCTGAATCTCACTGTTGGGCTCCTCAGGGAGCCTAAGAGGGCAACGATGACCGACAGAAGTGCCTCGGGCAGAGCCGGAGGTGTGCAGTGGGCAGTGTTGGGACAGGGTGCCAGGGCGTGGGCACCACAGAGGACACACAGCAGCAGTCGCTAGCAGCTACTCTGGGGTGGTGCACACGCCCCCCAGGAGTCCTTAGGTGCAGTGCTCCGTAGCTTTCTTGTGCAGCAGTTGCTATTTAAACACTGTCACGTTATAGAAGCAGGGGTGTCACAGCTGCAGCACACCAGTGCTTGGACAGCCCTCCCTCAAAGTCCACACACAGTGCACAAAGTGGCCACTCTGTACTCCAGCATCTGCTCTTGCTTTATCAGCTGCCCAGGCCATCCCTAACCAGGGCTCCTGTGGCTGCCTTGCTGTGTACCTCAATGACCTGGAGACAACTTCACAAGGGCCTCAGTGTCTGGGGTGTTGTCCAGGGGGTGTGTGGAAGGCAGGGCGCCTTCAAAGCCCTGCAGGCAGCAGGGCTCAGAACCCTCCTCCTTCCTATGGCTTTGGTCCAACAGGAAGCTGAGGCAGACTGCCTTGGACTTGGCGTGCTGCTGGCCCTGGGGCCGGCAGGAGCCTCCGTGAACAGGCTCCAGATGGAGGCCGCAGCCCTGCAGATCTCAGTGGACTCCTGCTGTCCCTGCAGAGTCATTTGTTTTCCTACAAGTGTGGTCGCTGCTGCCCAAGACCAGTGAGCAAACCCAGCTCCTTGTCCCCCACCTGTGCCATTGAGCCTTTGGCCACTCCTGAGGACTGAAGGCCAGCGAGGCCAGTGGCTGTGGACATAGTGCGACTGTAGTGTATAAACATTACAAGGAAAGTGAATTCTTTTATTAAAAATACTTAGTTCTCCTGTGATGGCACAGTAAAAATGAGAATGAAGTATGTTTTCATTGGTGCAAAATAAGTGAGGACTTTTGATTTTCTCTTCCTCTGCATTCAGATTTCCTAGCTCAAGAAGACTTGTCACTCCCTGTCACAGGGTTGCCCACGGCCCCAGCACGGGCCTGTGTTTCAGAGCCGAAACACAGGCTGTGCATAGAACTGTGTCAGCTGTGTATTTCTTCCTGTAACTTGTCAGTTAAATGTTAGCATGTGACTTACCAATTAGACAGAGTGAGAGATTAGCAACAGTGACTTAAGGGTAAGATAGACTGGCTGTAATAATGCACTGCAGTAAAAGTTAGGTGGATGGCCTTTCTCAAGAGTCAGACTACTTCTGGATTGTGACTGAGTGTACGTGGCTGCAACTGCAGAGGGTGCCACTGCAGATAAGGGGGACAGCTGGTTCTGTGCAGGCCGCACAGCCAGGTGCCCTTTATAACTGTCTTCCAACACCCGTGCCTTAGGAGGTGCTGCAGAAGGGCCCGTGAGGTGAAGGAAGGATAGGATGGGATGTCTCCAGGAGGGACATCCCGGGCCCCATGGCCCCTGAGGTGGGCTGCAGCGCCTTCTGGCCACAGGGCACATGTTGTCGGGACCACAGGCAGCACAGGTTACAGCTGTGAGGGTAGCGGCGTGGTAGGGCTGTCGTGGCTGTGATGTCTCAGCTGTCCTCACAGTCCTCCAGTCTGTCTTGTTTCTGCGCCAGCTTACTCGTGGCACTGAGGTCTCGGACCTTCGCTCTGCGGGGCGCCGAAGGACGTCCTCCACTGCACTGCCATGTCCTGTCTTGGGCTTTCAGGGGGACCAGGGCGGCCTGAGGACCCTGCAGAAGAAATGGACGTCCTTCCTGAAGGCCCGGCTGATCTGCTCCCGGCCGGACAGCGGTCTGGTCTTCAATGTGCTGCGGGATGTGTTTGTGCTGCGGGGCCCGGGCCTGAAGGAGCCAATATTCTACGCACTCTTCACCCCGCAGCTGTGAGCAACTTCGGCGGGCAAGCAGGTGGGTGGGCGGGGTGCGCCCTCTGCAGCCACCACCCTCCTCACTCCTACGGCTTCCATCCTCAGGAACAACGTGGGACTGTCCGCAGTGTGCGCCTACAACCTGTCCACAGTGGAGGCCGTCTTCTCCCGCGGGAAGTACATGCAGAGCGCCACGGTGGAGCAGTCCCACACCAAGTGGGTGCGCTACAACGGCCCGGTGCCCACGCCACGGCCTGGAGCGGTGAGCAGGGCTCCGGCTGGGATGGACGAGGGGCATTCTCCCTGTGCCAGGCCCAGGTGCCTGCAGGTCTCCTCTGTACCTGCCTGGCACCCACTGGGCCTCGAGTTAGCAGCAGGCTCCTCCCTCCTCTGTCCCCTCCTTGTCCATGTGTTGTGTCACAGCTCTTGCCACACACAGGCCAGACAGGAAAGTGAGCCGCTCGCAGGAGCCGCGGGGTGAAATGCACATTGCATAATACGTTCAGGTCCTTCCTTTTCAGTTTCCTGCAGAAAAACATGATTTCCCAGCAAGCACTGTGTGCACACAGGCTGCCCTGTCCACTCATCAGTAGCAGTCACATTATTTCCCCATGAAAATTATAAATTTTAGGTAAAAAGAAGTTTCTACACTGACCTGGCCACCCACATTTTTCCGGAGTAGTATAGGCTGGCACCTGGTCCTCACGACCGTGCCCAGTCGGGCACCCTGCTGGGCGTCTTGCCCTGACCTGGTCTCCGTTCCTCCTATGCCTGCCACTCAGTAAAGCATGGTCACATGTGGTAAGGATTGTGTTTTCTGCACATCAGGAAACAAGAATGGGAAAAATTCCTTCCTGTTCTTTAGTTTTTATGGCATTAAAATCAGGCTGTTTTTCAGCAGTGCTTATTGTGCTTGCCTTCACGTGGGAAAGTTTTTGGATACTAAGTAGTTTTCAGATTCAAAGACTTGGTGAGTCTTCTCATTTATAAATGCATAAAAGTTGCTCCACTAATTATGAATCATAAAACACAATTATATGTCATGGATATGCTTTAATACCATGTCCCCTCCTGGGCATGGGGGTGTATACCTGTAGTTAGAGTTATTTGGGAGGCTGAGGCAGGAGGATCACAGGTTCAAGGCCATCCTGGGCAACTTAGACCCTGTCTTAAAAAATGAAAAGTGCTAGGTCTGTGTAGCTCAAGAGTGGAGCAGTAGCCTAGCATGTACAAGCTCCTGGGTTCAATCTCCAGGACCACAAAGTAAACGTGTCCTCCTATTCCTGGGGCAAGGCTGCCTGACCGTCCACTGTTAGCCGCCTTCTGAGGCGTCCCCTGTTCAGCGGTCCCCCTGCTCAGCAGCTGCTGGGGTTCAGTGCTGCGAGGTGCTGGGCTGTGGGCGTGTGTGGTAACGGCTGGTGATCGGCCCCACAGTGCATCGACAGTGAGGCGCGGGCAGCCAACTATACCAGCTCTTTGAGCCTGCCTGACAAGACGCTGCAGTTCGTCAAAGACCACCCTCTGATGGACGATTCCATCACCCCGATAGACAACAGGCCCAAGTTAATCAAAAAGGACGTGAACTACACGCAGATTGTGGTTGACAGGACCCAGGCCCTGGATGGGACCGTCTATGACGTCATGTTTGTCAGCACAGGTGGGTGCTGAGGGCGAGCCAGTCACGGCGTGTAAGAGAATTGGGAAATCCACTAAGTCTTTTGTGGGTGGATCTGGCCTCTCCCTTCATGTGACCTAAGTGTGACCATGTGAAAGGAAATCCCCACAGCTGGGCCACCAGGGCACCGACCTGCAGCTTCTGGCCTGTACCTGGGGTCAGCTGAAGCGGAGGATCCCCTTTCCAGCTGAGCTGGATGATGCCCGGGGTGGCTGGGCTGGGGGAGGGGCTGACTGTCCGGGGGGAACAGCCAGCCTGGCCTTCACTGACTTGCAGCAGGAGACCTTGTCCCTGCACCCTGTATGGCTTGAGACTCACCCTGCCCTGCACTGTGTCCCTGGAGACCCACCTTGACCATGTACCCTGGGCTGAGATGAGTGTTTCTGGGATGGGGCCTGTGGCCGCCCTGGGAGAGCCCCAGGTGACCTTATGTGTGCCCTGCCTCGCCTGCCTGCTAGGATCCTTCCAGGGATGACCCCCCTCCAACCTCTAACCACATGGACCATTGCACCTGGGATCTGGGCCCCGATGTCACCGTGCTGACTGAGGATGAAGGTTGTTGGACTCAGCCATGGATCAGGGGTGTATTCTTTATAAGAGAATCAGAATAACCTGTAACTTGTTTCCAGTCACTTATTTTGCCAAAAGCATTTTTTTCCCTTTCTCATGCAAAGTTGCCCCTGTCCTGAGCATCCCGATGAGCCTGTAGCAGGGCGAGCATGGCCTCGGGACTTGGGAGTCCTTAGTGTGTCCTCCCCAGCTGCCTCCCTGAGCCCGGCTTTGACCTTGCAGATCGAGGAGCCCTGCACAAAGCCGTGAACCTCGAGAGCGAGGTACACATCATTGAGGAGACCCAGCTTTTCCAGGACTCCGAGCCAGTGCAGACTCTGCTGCTCTCCTCGAAGAAGGTAAAGAGGCCCCACAGGAGGCTGGGTGGTGGCCATACTCGGCTGCCATTCATCTCTGAGATCCATGGTCAGCCTGGCGGTGGGCAGCTGCCCAGGTCTCTCAGGCCCGGGGCTGGGTGGCAGACATTTGAGGCTTTGGGGGCTGGGCACCTCGGGCACATACCCAGCTCTGCCATGGTGGCTGCCGCTAGCTGTGGCTGAGACACAGATGAGTGAGGCTACCTGTGGACGCTGAGCTTTGCACATCCCAAGAGGCATAAAATACTGGTCTTTGGATTTTTTTTCAGTCATTTAAAAATGTAAAACCCCAGTTGACATGGTGGCACACACTCTGGGAGGCAAGAAGTTTGCACGTTTCAGCCAAATCTGGGCAACTTAGCAAGACGCTGTCTCAAAAAACAAATGAAAAAGGCCTGGGAAGTAGCTCAGTGTGAAGGCCCTGAGTTCAGTGCCCAGGACCACAGTCAGTGAACCAACCCCTCCACACCTCCCACCCCTTAGCTGGAGGGCCGTAGAGAAAGCCACAGGGCGAGGTGTGGTCCGCTGACTGCGGCTTTTGGTCCCCAGCATGCCTCAGTGGCCTGAGGAACTGGTGCTGCCCCTGTTTTAATGTTGATGGAGCAGGGAGTTGCACAGAGCTGCAGACGGGGCTCAGCACAGAGCAGATGCCAGGGTCTGCCTGCGACGCGGCCATCTGCCCTCCGGGAGAGGCTGCCTGGTGAGGGGCTGTGGGTGGGCTGCTCACCTCGACCCGCTGAGATGAGCCCTGCGTTACACCTGCAGTTAGCAGAACTGCCTGGCTCTGCCCCTCTCACTTGCGCCACTTCCTGAGTGTGGCAGAGTGCACTTGGCTACCCTGCTGCCCGTCTCTGGTGTGGCACAGTACACAGCCCTTCTCGGGAGCCAATCCTCACATAGCCCTTGGATGCTGCCTGCTTGGAGCTGGTGCCATGGGCAGAGGAAGGGGCAGCAGGCAGGACCAGGGCTGACCTCTTGGGCAGGTCCATATTTGTAAGCATCTCCCTAGGGACCCCTATCCTCTTCCCTTTTTTTTTTCTTTCTTTTCTTCTTTTTGTACTAGGAGTTGAACTCAGGACCTCGTGCTTGCCAGACAAGTGCTGTGCCACAGAGCTGTATCCCAGCCCTTCTCTTCCCTTTTATCTGTGTCCACGAAGCTTTAGGAGCCTGGGGTTGCTTTCAAACTGCCGTCCCCTGACTACTTCCCCTCTCAGCCACTGTAATACATGTCTGCTGTCTGGGCTGGTGCTGCCTCTCAGTTGGCAGCACGTGAAAGTGCCTGGAGTTGTGCAGGGTGGGTGTTTGCTCCCCCGCCATAATTGGCCTTGCCCCTGGGGTCCTCTGGGGCTGCTGTGCTGCCCGTTTGCCTCAGCCAGGCTGGTGCCGCACCCAGAGGGTAAGCCCTGGGAGGGGTCATCAGAATGAATTCAGGACCCTTTGTGTCAGATTCTAGGGCACCTGGTACTGACCCCCAAAGCAGACAGGAGGCCCTGTGATGGCTCATGTCCAGATGTCCCCAAAAGTCTCATGCAGTCATAGATGGGGCTTTTTCACAGGTGGCTGGATCTACAGTGCTTGACTAATTCATGGTGCAATGCTGGGAGTAAGGGTGTGTGATTACTAAATCAGTCCACTGGTTGGTTTGGCAGTGCCCTAATGCCAGTAGCCTAGAGAGAGTGTAACAGGGGCAGAAAAAGCTACCAAGGCCCCCTTGTTGCTTTGCTGCCCACCATGATCTGTTTCTCTCTTGCTGCCCTTCCTCGGAGCCAGCTGATTATAGACTGAAACCTCTGCAAACTGTGAGCTAAACAAACCTTTTCCCCTTTAACTTTGGGTGTTGGGTATTTTGTCTCAGCAACAAGAGAAAGGTAGCTAAGACAGGTCCTGTGTGGGAATGGTTACAGGTCAGTCCTGCAGACATCTGTCACGAAGGAGTCAGCCACGGGCCCCACAGGGAGGAAGAGCAGGTGGATGTGGTCGTGCTGGGCCACCCAATTCACCTGTCCCCACAGGAGCTGCTGCAGGGAGGACTTGGCCCTGCTGCAGTGAATGGTTTACAGACAGTTCACCTGTATGGGGTCCCCCACCTCCTCTTCATCCCAGGGCAGGAGTTTCCATGCCCACCCAGCTATGCTGCCATGGCAGTGGGAGTGCTGATCAGTGCCCCCCAACTCCCATGCTGGCAACCTCGTGTGTGGAAAGCTGGTGGGCAACCCCCAGCAGCCTGCCATTGGGAAACGGACCAGCACCTGACCCCTCCCCATTTGCTACAGCTGTGGTGGATGTTTCACTGCCCCTTCTCCCTGCTTTGAAGTGGCCTTGAGCACATTGACTGTCTGCAGCCATCACACTGTCCATCCTCACAACTTGGTCATTTTCTTGAACTGAAACTGTCCCATAGACCAGACTCCCCATTCCCTGTCCCTGGTACCCACCATTCTGTCTCTTGAGTGAGACGCCGCTAGGTCCTCCACGTGAGAGGAGGCGCACCACGTGCGCTTTCTGTGCTGGCTCATTTCTCTTCTCACCATTTCTGCAGGCTTCCTCAGTGTGGTTGCGTGTGTCAGGCTGTCCATCTTTTGGAGGCTAAATAGTACTCTGTTGTATGGACAAACCAGGTCTGTCTCTCCACACTGATCATGGTAGCGCTCTCCTGCCAACTGTGGCCAATGCGCTGTGAGCCTGGGTGTGAGCTCCTGCCTGTGGGTGCCCGGGACTAGGATGTGTCTCAGCAGACGCCCTGCGCTAGTGAAGTCAGGTTGTGCGGCACCGGCACCGAGAAGGGAGCTTCGCTGGCTCATTGCCCACACGAGTGTCCTTTGCCATCCACCCTTGGATTGCACACGCAGGAGTTAGCAGAGACCGGGCCTGGGGAAGGAGGGGTCCTCAGCACACCCCACTGCTACCATGCACTGCCTACCGGGCACTGGGGGGTTTTGCTTTTGTTTAATTTGTGTTTTTATCAGGACTGTTTGCTGTACCTCGTGATCGCATTCACGGCAGGGACTAGGCAGATGTACACAGTGCATTGTGATGCTTTTACCATCTCCTCCGCCAAGTGTTTTTATTCACCTTGTTAATTTTTCATTTTGAAATAGTTTGTGATTTACAGAAGAGTGGCAAGGAGGGCACAGAGGGTTCTTGTGCCCCACCCAGCCTTCCGTGTCCCATGGATTTGGCCCCATTATCTGCACCCTGCACCACACTGGCATCGCTCACCCCCCACCCATGTGCACCCCCCCAGGCCCCACAATGCATTTGGGCATCACAGCTCCTCCATCGGTCCTTGTCCCCAGCCAGGTAGGCTTGGAGAGACCCAGTCAGGTCTTTCACAGTGTCTGGTGGTTTTTCTGCACTGTTCTGGGTGCACGGCTTGGGGAGGGCACCATGGGGGGCCCTCCCTGGGCATGGCACCTTTGTGCCCTTGACTTTCGCCCCACATGTGTGTGTCTGGCCACCCCGGTGGGGAGCTGGGCCCCACCTCTGGCAGGCAGTCAGGGAATGTGTGGGCCTGCATTATAGTCCATGGAGAGCTGTGTCTTTCAAGGGAGCAGACACTGAGACAGAAGGTACGGGCAGCCCTCTCGTCCTCGGGTCCTTACTGCCGTTTCACATGTGCAGTTCCACTGGCCTCAGGTCGAAAATATTTGAAAAAACATTGCAGGTGCACTAAAACGCCTGAGCTCTTTTGTTGTCATTAGTCCCTAGACAATGTAGTGTTGTAGGTGTTATAAGTAGTCTAGAGGTGATTTAAAGTCTCCTGGAGGATGCGCTTAGATCATATGCAAGTACACAGCTGTGGGGGTCCAGGAGCCAAGTCCCCACAGATGCCAAGGGATGTTTTTTGTCTTCAGAGACAGAGTCTCACTATGTAGCCCAGGCCTTGAACTTGCAGCCATCTCCTGCTTCAGCCTCTCGAGTGCTGGGTTTACAGAGGTGTGCCACCACGCCTAGTTCGTTTCTCCCCTCACCCCTAAATTTAGCATCCCTGGTGGGCCTTGTTAGTGGTGGGTCCTGCCAGACGCCCTCCTGGGAGGCTCTGCTGCCCTTCGCTCCCCTTCCCTTCTGTGTTTGCTTGCTGGAATCCATGTGGTGGGACTCAGCTGTAACAGCCTGACTTCAGGATGCTCCTCCCAGAGCCATCAGGGAGAAGCCGGGCTGAATGTCCTGGAGGACAGGGAGGATCAGAGGCCCCTAGGATGGTCCCTCCCTCCCCACAACCTGCCCGAGGCTACCACTTCACCCCTGCACAGTGACCACACGACCTGGGTGCTGGGTGCAGGTGGTGACACGGGCTGGTGACACATCATTGGCGGCCCAGGCCCTGTCCAAAGGTGTCTCACGCACAGGGGTGAAAACAGCCTTCAGAGGCTGTGCCCTCCGGCTTCTGACTGCTGTTAATGTTGTCTCCCTACGAGGAGGGCAGGGCAGAGCCCCCTGCTCCACAGGCACTGCCTAGAGGACATAGGAACCGCTTCCAGTTCCATGGGAACAGTTCCGCTTCCATGGGAGGTTTCCAGCTTCCTAAGTCCCAGGAAGACTTAGGTGCAGGGTGCGCTTTGCCAGCTGGTGGGACCCAGACAGGCAGGGAAGCAGATGGGAAGGAGACACCACCCGCCTACTTTTCCGTGCAAGCCTACTGAGTCTGTCATAGAACCCACCAGCCTTGCTCTACCTCAGGTTGGGAAGAGCCCCCTGCTTCCCCAGCACCACATCTCAGAGCCCTGCCATGGTGACAGCCGACCATGCCTGCTCTCCTGTCTTCCCATGCACAGGGCAGGAGGTTTGTCTATGCCGGCTCCAACTCAGGTGTGGTGCAGGCGCCGCTCGCCTTCTGCGGGAAGCACAGCAGCTGTCAGGACTGCATACTGGCGCGGGACCCTTACTGCGCCTGGAGCCTAGCCGAGGCTGCCTGTGTCACCGTGCACCAGTCCGAGGGTGCCAGCAGGTATGGGCGAGGTGCACTGCCCGAAGGGCCCCCCCATGGGCGTGGGCCAGGAACCAGTAACTGTACTGGCTGTTTTGCAGGGCATGGATTCAGGAGATGAGTGGCGACACATCCTCATGCCCCGGTGAGTGGATTCCCGTTCCATTCCCGAGAATTGGCCGACTCTTGCAACATTTTGTGTGCTGCTGTGGTGTGATGTTTGTGTGCTTCGTTTCCTTTCTCTGCTTAAAATAGAGGTCAGGCATCGCATAGCAGGCCTAGGTCTCTCTGTCCCTTTGATTGCAGAAAGAATGTCCAAGGCCATGTAGGGTGTATCGGTTCACTGGAAGGCACGTTGTCCCAAACAGTCCTCTTCTCAGTTCTGCTTAGTTTTGGGTTCAAAACCTGATAGGAGTGGAAAGAAAGGAGACCATGAGTACAAGTCAAGTACCCTTAATCCCCAAACCACAAATCTAAAATCCTTTGAGTGCCAACATGATGTCTCAAGTGGAAAACTCCATACCATGGAACTTTGTTTTGTACTCAGAATGATTTAAAACATTGTATAAGATTATCTTCAAGCAGTGTGTATAAGGTGCACATGAAACATAAATGAATTCATGTTCAGACTTGGGCCCCCTCCCCAACGTATATCATTATACACAAACATTCCAAAATCTGAAAAACATCAGAAATCCAAAATTCTTATCCAGCACATTTGGATAGAAGGGAAGCAGCTTCCCCATGGGAACCCCATTCCCTGTAACAGTTGTGGGGGGACAGCATGGTGACCCACAGTGGGTGGGGCTGGGCCAGGAGTTGCACACACTTTGCTAGTGTGTCAGGACAGGTGTGGCCTCAGCTCTAGGACCCCTCTCCCTTCTGAGCAGACAGCAGTCACAAGATGAAAGAAGAGAAGAGCAGGATGCCCAGTGCCCCAAAAGCCAGTCTTTCCTGCAGCCACTAGCAAAGTGTTCGGTGTTAGACTGAAGCCATGCCACCGGGCACAGAGCTGGCCTCTGCTCTGTCTCCCCAGCCTGGTGGATTCAGGGTGGAGATGTGGGCTTTCCGCTGTTGAGGGCCACCTCTGATTTCCTTGTCCCCAAGGGCTGCCATCAGGGCTCATCTTTGCTTCTGTGGTCACGCATGTCTTTATCTCCTAGTTGTTCTGGAAGATTCCATCTTGCTCCAGTGGGTGAAACTTGTATCCTCTTGTGGGAATTGACCTATTTTTTAACGCAATCAAGTAAGCCACCAGGGTTGTTGATGCTGTGCACATTTATTTTGATGTTCCAGATAAGATTAAAGAAAGTTCCCCGCAGCGTCCTTTCAAGCACGGAGACACGGCAGAACTCAAATGCTCCCAAAAGTCCAACCTAGCCCGGGTGGTGTGGAAGTTCCAGAATGGTGTGCTGAAGGCTGAGAGCCCTAAGTATGGTCTGATGGGCAGGAAAAACCTGCTCATCTTCAACCTGTCAGAAGGAGACAGTGGGGTGTACCAGTGCCTGGCAGAAGAGAGGGTCAGGAACAAAACGGTCTCCCAGGTGGTGGCCAAGCTGGAGGTGAAGGTGCTCCCACGGCCCTCACCAGCCCCCAGTTCACCGGCCTTTCAGGCCACCTCCAGGGTGCCTGCAGCAGCCACCCAGGGGTCTTCTCCCCCCAGCCCGGATGTACGGGCCACCTCCCCTGGGCCCATCACCCCACCACCCAGGCCGGCACCCACCAGCACATCCTGCGAGCCCAAGATTGTCATCAACACGGTGCCACAGCTGCACTCAGAGAAGACCATGTACCTGAAGTCCAGTGACAACCGCCTCCTCATGTCTCTCTCACTCTTCCTCTTTGTGCTCTTCCTCTGCCTCTTCTCCTACAACTGCTACAAGGGCTACCTCCCCGGGCAGTGCTTGAAGTTCCGCTCAGCCCTGCTGCTTGGCAAGAAGCAGCCCAAGCCGGAGTTTTCGGACCTGGAGCAGAGTGTGAAGGAGACACTGGTGGAGCCTGGGAGCTTCTCCCAGCAGAACGGAGAGCAGCCCCGGCCAGCCCTGGACACCGGCTATGAGACAGAGCCAGATACCATCACCAGCAAAGTCCCTACGGACAGGGAGGACTCACAGAGGATAGACGAGCTCTCTGCCAGAGACAAGCCATTCGACGTCAAGTGTGAACTGAAGTTTGCAGACTCGGACGCAGATGGAGACTGAGGCACATTCCTGCGGGTGTCTTGCAGTCCCTTTGTGGGGAGTTTTGTGTTTAACTTGTTCAGTACCCGAGTCTCCAGTCTTGTCACCGTGCAGCAATCCTTAGTCTTGTTTTTCTCTCGGGTTGAGCCTGTGACTTGTTCCTCTTTGTGCTTTGGGAAAACAAGTATCGCGTCCGGTCCAAGTCCTGCAGTGGGTGGAGCACTGGGCGACCTCTTTGCAGGTGGTGGCCCTGACCTGAGCCCTTTGTGTCATGGGGGAGAGACGACTGAGTTCCATCGGCTGCACAGGGCTCCTTCCTCTTCCCTTCCCCATAGCAGCCACTAAAAGCTAATTTCATTCCAGATTGGAAATGACGTTTTAGTTTATCAGATTGGTAACTTATTGCCTGTTGTCCAGATTGGCACGGACCTTTTCTTCCATTGAATTATTTTTTAGGATTTTGCTTTGATTGTGTTGAGTTGTAGGTCATTTTTTTTTCATTACCGGAGCAGATGTTTTAATATTTAGAAAAAGATGTTCATCTTCCAGATTTTGTTGTATATTGGAATATGGCTTACGTTGCTTACGATTCTCAGGGATAGACTTACTTTTTGCTAAATGCATTCTTTCTGCTTTTAGAAGTATAGACCTAAAAATCACATCTCTTAGCACTCACCTTTTTACTTATTACTTTAGTCCTTGGAAGCATCATTTTCAGAGAGATTTTATTTCTCTATATTTTTAACTTTGGTGAAGAAGAAGCCTGCCCTGCACACACTGGGAGGTGTCGCCTGAAGAAGGGTCCAGGCACTGACGATCAGGCTGCCCTAGGGGAGGAGCGTGTTACCAAGCCACACCTACAGCTGCCAGGCCAGCCCTCCTGTTGGGGGTGGAGCCTTCACAAGGATGTCTTGGGTTCTCTGAACATCTCCCGTCTCTTCTTGCTTCCATCTCATCCCCACTGCCACCTAGACTCTGTCCTCGGCCCCACGGAGCTGTCCCCTCACTCCTGGAAGACAAGTGGTCCATGGCAGCTGCGCCTCTGGCTGTGGCTGTGACCACACATCTGGTGCACACGGCCACTGTCCCAGCCTGGCCTCTGCTGCTATCGTTACAGATGTAAAGGAGCGGTATGGTTTTAACCTTTGTTTGTTTTACACTCCGTCTCCTGCTTTGTAAATACCCACGCAGAGGAGGACTTTTGTTCTGTGGCAGAGAACAATAAACTCTGGATTTCTGTGTTCCTGTGTGGACAGTCTCACCTTTCAGCATGATACGAGTTCATCCTTTGTGGTGTAAACTTCTGTGTTTTATAAGATTTCCTTTGTTTTTATTTTTCTATCTTGTATCCATGTGGAAAATACTCGAATAAATGAGAGGCTTCTGTCATTCATTTAGGCAGGTGTCACTTGTGGGGGCTGTGGGGTGGCCCCAGTGGGGTGGCCCCCAGATCTGTCCTCATCCCCACCTGTCCGCTTCCTGCCTTCTCTGGCCTGGGACTCGATCTTGACGACGCCCTCCTCAGTGCCCTTTCTTTTCTGTCCTCTGTCTCACAGCCTCATCTCCTAAGCCCTTTCCTCCTCCTGGCTCCTCCTCCCTGTCCTGTCTGGGTCCCGACTCGTCTTCCTCTCCCTGGAGCCCCTGGCCAGCCCCGGGCCCAGGGCATGACAGCCGCACGCAGGTCGCCTTGCTGCCGCCCTTCCTGAGTGACCAGGCACAGCAGGTGCATGTGCTGGGGACCTTCCACCTCTTCTGCCAGGCCACAGGTGAGTTGGGGCGTGCCCTGTCCGTGGGCCAAGGCTGCCTCCATGTCCGTGCAGTCTTCCTGCTCGGCCTTCACTGCCCACCACCTTCCTGGCTGGGCTGGCAGCAGCAGAGCCTTCTGATGCCTTCCTGTGGGGCGGGTCTGCGAAAACACTAGACAGTCAGCAGGAGGCTGGTGCGAGGAGTCAACCAGCTCTTCTCCAGAAAGAGCCAGACTAAAGGCTGTGAAGGTCCCGGGGTCCCTGTCAAAACTGCCCAGCCCTGCCTGCCCTCACACTGTGAAAGCAGCCATAGACGATAGCATCATGCGTGGGCAGGGCCATTGCCAATGAAACTTTATTTACGAAAATTAGCAAGAGGCCAGACTAGGGCCAAAGGCCAGTTTGCTGACCTGTGCCTGTGGTATGGTTCATAGAGTTGCTTCTATTACTGTAATAATTTAGAGGTTGGTTGATACGTTGTTGGGATTTTTTTTTCAATACTGGAGATTGAACTCAGGGCCTCAAGTGTGTGGCAAGTGCTCTACCACTGAGCTACATCCTCAGCATTTTGTGAGAGACTTTTATTTTGAGACAGGGGCTTCTGAAGTTGCTCAGGCTGGTCCAGGAGTTGGACCCTCCTACCTCAGAGTTGCTGGGATTGTAGGCGTGTGCCACCACACACAGCACATTCAAAGTTTTAAAAAGTGACCCCAGAGCTTCTAGAACAGGGGTTCTGTTGACCTGTTCCAGGATGTTTAAAAGCCAAAAATATTGAGTCTGGTGTTCTCTCTGCAGACATAGGAGCATTTTGACGGTGTTGGAGAACATTCTCATGGGGTCTGCTCTGGAAGGGTGAGATTCCAACCAGAGCATACTTGAGATCCAGCCCTGCTTTGGCAGCTCCCGGCAGATGGCTTGTGCTCTAGAGGGGAGGCTCGAAGTTAATGATGATCCAGCTTACTTTTCAAACAAACTTAAATGATTAGAAGTTACTACGACTTGTAAGCTGTCACTTGTCCCTTGTTAAATCAGCTCTGGGAGTCCCAGAGAGGCCTGTGCCCTGTGAATGTGGGGCCTGTTGGCAGCTGGTGGTCCTGCATAGGCCCCACAGGCATGGACTATAGAGACTGACCTTTGTACAGCTCCTGTGGTGTGAGCTCTGTTTGTTTGGTTTTGGTTTTCATTTTTGAGAGACAGAGTCTTACTGTTTCCTAGGCCAGCCCTGAACTCCTGTGCTCAAATGATCCTCCTGCCTCAGCTCCGTGAGGAGCTGGGCCTGACACCACCACGCCTAGCCCTCTGGGCCCCTTTGGACCGGGCCTGCATGGGACACCTGGCTGTGGCTCCCTGGCCAGGTTTTTGCTCTGTCCTTCGTGCCTGGTGATGGTGGTTGTGGAGTACCAGGTGGGCCCCCTGGAGGGCCCTCTTGGAGCTGAGGGAGCTGGGTGCACACAACAGGGTGGCCAAGTGCACAAGTCTTCAGTTGTGTGTCTCCTGCCAAACAGATTTTCGTACACACCAGCCCCTGGGCTTGGCAGGGCAAAAGATGGGTGCCTCGCGGGGAATGGACATCGCTGTGGTGTCAGCATGTGAAGAAGCTGGTGTAGGAGCCAGAGGGGCTGGGAGGAGGGTGGAGGCCAGCACCCACGTGGGGCAGGGGTAGAAGGGAGAGGCATCCCTTGGTCTCATCTCCGGCCACTGAGGCCAAGCCGTGAGACCTGCATCGCCCCTGCCAGCCTCTGGCTGGAGAAATACTTCTTCCTCCCATGCTCTGCTCCTGTCGTCCTCCCGTGGCCAGGCCTGACCGTGTCCGCTCCAGGGGTCAGAGGCACCTGTGGTCTTGCTCTCACACAGTGGAAGCCAGTGGGACCAGCTTGACCCTTTCCTGGCCCTCAGAACAGAGGGCCTTTGGGAAGCTGAGGCCTCCCGCCTCCCCTTGCCCTCCTTGTGTGGTTGTTACCCTCCAGGGACAGTTGGGCCCCTCTGGTGCCTTCTTTTCCAGTCCTTTATTCTACCAAGGCTGTACCTGGTGGACAGGCGTAGAGGAAGAGGCTGGCCGTGGGCCTGCGAAGGCATCAGGCCAGGTGGCTCTGGCGTGCATTGAGTGAGGAGCCCCTGGAGTAGACTGCAGACTGATGCTCCAGCATGGGCCGCAGGCCGGGCTTTTCTGGGAGGGATGTGTGCAGCCTGTGCCCGGGGTCTGCAGCCTGAGGTGACTCTGCTTCCCGGGTTGGGTGGGTTTGAACCTCGACCTGGGCTCCTTTCTTGCTGAAACGGCCTTCTTTGTGGCAGTCGTCACAGCATCAGGGGCTGCCTGGCTTTTAGAATCTGAGATTCAAATAGGGAGTACATGTAGGATCTTCATTCCTGCTGCTCCTTGGTGCCTGCGCCTTGCTGGGTGACCCTTCTCATGAGAGTGCCACACCTCTGGGGAGGCTGGTTGAAGTCACATGGTCCTGCCTGCCACAGGAGATGGAGCCCAAAGTGGGGTGAGAGGGGTCCCTGTGGACTCAGCCTTAGCTGCTGGTGAGAGGTAAGGTCACTGCCCACTCTGCAGGGGCAGGTTGGTCCCAGGGAATGCCCTGGTGTAAGCAGGGGAAGGGCTGGGGGTCGGATGATGTGGTCTGGCCACGCAGCAGGGCAGGGGGGCTTCTCCAGGGTGGCGCTTAGGACAGCCCCGCCACAGCACCTGGCTGGGAAGACCTGGGCATGGAGCTGGAAGGGCTGGCGCTCTCCTTCCTCTGTGCTCCATGTCTTGAGGCCTCAGAGACCTGCATGCTGCCGGCTCGGGGAAGCTCCCAGGGCAGGCGCAGCAGCCTGTGGAGCCACCCCACTTCCGGGCAGCAGCACCACACTGCAGGGGCCTGTGGGCCTAGACCTGGTGGGTTTGTGTTCTTGTATTCAGCATGCGGCCAGCTACAGTGGGTTAGGAGGATGCTACGCTGCGTGCTTCATATCCCACACCACGCCACATGCAGCATGCCAACCATACCACACAGCACATACCATGCACACCATGTGCGTGCACAGCACACCAGATTACATACTGTGTGTTCTATACACACGTGTCACACACATTACTACATACCTTCCACGCTGCACAGTACATACACCATGTACACAACACAAATACCACACATGACACACCGCACACAATACAGCAGGTAGCACACTGTGTACACATTATACCACATACGACATACACAGAGCACAGACACATGCACCACAGGTGCACAAATCTGCCACACCCCAGGCCAGCCGGGGAGTTGGGTTACCTCGTCTCTCAAGTGCCTTTTGTACCTACGGTGCCAGTGGTCAGGATCAGGACATTTGAGGGTCACTGTTGAGCTGGTCACAGGGCCCCAGCACTTTGGGATGGCCTGGGACCCAGAGGAGCACTGAGGGATGGGGCGGTGAGGACCCAAACAGAAGGCTTTTCCACTCCTGGCCAGCACCCAGACTGCAGAGGCACCTTGGCCCCTGCCCACCCTGCGCTCACGTCACGGAGGCATTGAGGGCACAGAGGAGAGACTGGAGCAGCCAGGTCCGTACTACCCCTGACCTGGCCATTTTGTATCTTTTGTCCCTTTCTCGAGGACAGGGCCATACCCAGAAGGTCTCCCCCGTGATCCCCTTTCCATCCCAAGGTCCCTTGGCTGTGACTGTTGACAAGTGTCTCACCCTCTGGCCTCTATCCCTTTGCTGAGAAGTGGTAAAGGTTCCAGGGTGGCTTTTGCTAACGTTCAGTGGTGTGTGACAGTGTAGGGGTCGTGCAGGGAAGGTCTGCCTGGGTCTTATGGTAACTTCTGCAGATCCTGGTGCAGCCCTGGAGCTTCCAAGATGTCCTGGAGGGATGTGCCTGGTGATAGGAGATCTAGCCTGGCCCGGCCTCAGCCGGGGCACCTGCTGGTCCACAGGTATGACCTAGAGGCTTGTTAAGGATAGGGTCCCCTCCGGGACTGAAGGGTGCAGCCCTGAGTTCTTGTGGGTGTCAGGAGGACTAGTGGGGAGCCTAATTAAGCTCTGGGCCACTCTGGTGAACGGCCTTGGTCGGGCCCACTGAGAGGTTGTCACACTTGGAATTTGGGCTTCATCCCCCTTAGAGGTAACAAACTGACATTTGACTGGGAAGCGGGTTCAGATCTGCACAGGTGTTGAAGTCCCTACCCAGCAAGGGCAAAGCAGGGTGATGTTTGAGCCAGGGAGTGCACCGGCCAGGGCACAGCTGGCACGAGCGTGAGGTGGCTGCCGGAGAGCTCGTGAGCTCTTGGGTGCAGTCTAGGGGAAGCTTCCAAAAAGGTGCTCAGAACCCTGCCTTCCCCGGGCTGCTCAGAACAGGCCTGAGTGGCAAGTGACACTGAGTGACACTGCCAGGGTGAGTGTGTGACAGGTAGATGGGGATTCCCTAGGACGTTGTTTTCTTTTTTTTTTTTTTTTTTTTTTTTTTTGGTTTTTCTCCAGTACCGGGAACCGAACTCATGACCTGGCGCTTGCCAGGCAGGCGCTTTTGACGCTGAGCTAAATCCCCAGCCCCCAAAAATAACTTTTTTTTTTTTTTTTTTTCCGGTACCGGGAATTGAACTCATGACCTTGTGCTTGCCAGGCAGGCACTGTGCCACTGAGCTAAATCCCCAGCCCCCTAGGACGT